GCTGCTGATGAGGAATAAGCCATCTCAGACAGAATTTCAAGTGTGTGGGTCTCAAGGAAGAATTTGCATTTCTGTTCCTGATGTTGATTGGTTTCTTCTGAGCCATATGCTTCAGATAGAAAACTTCTTCAGCAGCCATCTTCTGCTGTGTATTTTGTCTCCTTGGGGACCTTTTATTGATCATAATTCAACATAAATTTGAATCTGCAGCTTCAAATGCCAATATTCCAGGGTTGCAGGGTATCACTCACTGAAGTGCAAGAAAATTACTTGCTTCAATGCATCAAAATAAACATTTAGCATAGTTCATTATGATATTCAACCAAAATTTGAACATATTGACCATATAAATATAAGGATAGTACAAATATTTATTGGAACATATATTTGTAGGTATGGGGGTATGAGTTACACACAGAAACTTACTTATAATAGTTCTGGTGAACAGCAGCCTCTATTTAACTATACTGATGAGTTTCCTTAGAAAAAAAGAAGTCATTATAGAAGAGATATGATGTGTAGCTTCTGCTCTTTGGAGTACTTTGAGAAACTTTATATTTAAAGTCCATTAATTTATTAAAAAAATTGTAATGCTTATTAAAAATAATGGTAGTTTTAAAGAGAATATTTTTTTAATTCTTATGCTGATAATTTTGTAAATTTTCCAAGACTTTCAAAATGTTTTGGAATTGTGGAGGTTAGATTTTTAAACCCTGTTGATTTGTTCCTTTTTATCAATAGAAGCAACTACAAGATTGAGTGGGGAAGCTCAAGTTATCCATTCTTCTCCTGTATCATCACCTAGAAACAATTTCAGTTCCCCTACCCTGGCAACCCCATTGTGTGTCAAACCCCTAAATTACCTCACTTTGCTTCTAGCAGGGAGTCTTTCCAGCCAGCTGCTATCACCTAGGATATTTAACTATGTGAACAAGTGCAGGGAGTCAGGAATGCCCTCCATCCACGTTTTGTGCTTGCCAGGCAAAAGCCATGAAACTGAGCCCATGTCAACAGGGCACTGAGCCAAAAATAAGGAGCTGAGCTCAAGTCCAAGGCTGTGCCAAAGCATTTTCAGGGTTTCTGGAGTGCTGGGGGCTTGGATCAGGGAAGGCTGGGCTATGGGTGTCTCTCAGGCCCACCCTGAAGAGCACACAGAGCAGCAGATGAAGAAGGGACAGGCGTTTCAATGAGAGCGCAAGAAGCCAAGACCATCTTAGCTCTTCAAAACCAGAGCAAAAATGAAAGTCATTCCAGTAAGATGAACTTGTGGTGGCAGGAAGGTTAATGACCAAATTCCAGACAGCTTCCAGAAATTACTGTCACAAAGTGAGATTTGTGTTGCATGATGTAAGCATCACATAATTACTTAGCTAAAACATGCCACTTTTATGCTCACGATTGTTTAAGGATTTATATAAATTGCTTTTATTTTTCAATGCTCTATTTTTCCAGCTGTCAAATCAGTTGTGTGATTGATAATTAAAAAATTAGTGGTGTCACTTTGGTGTTACAGGTATTGTGCAAAAGCATGTGCAAGAAAAAAGTTCCCCTCCTTTGTCAAGGATGTTGACACATACATAAATTGCCATTCTGAAGCCTTTCTTCAGCATTTATACACAGTAGAGCAAATACCAGCACATCAAAAGCCTGCAATCTAATACAATAAATTGCAGTTGTACTATGAATTTTTTGGTAGAAACACTTATTGCTCAGCTAGCCAACATTTAATAGTTTTTACGAACCTAAGTGACTCATGTATAATTTAAAGCTGAACATAATCACTAAAATAATAGAACAGGAGTATGAACATAGTATTTAGGTACAGAATGAGTAATATATATAGTCAAAAGTATGATAATTACGTAAAAATAAACTATAGGTAAAAATATGAATAGGCTTCAGAGAACTGCAGTATAAAAACAAAGTATTACATGTCATTCTTACAGTTTGTGAATTATAAAGTCCTTTCATTATTCACCAAAAGAATATGAAAAGGAGAATGTGAAAAGGAGAGGATAAGATTTTTTTTTTAAGTAGAGAAATGGAGTGTTTTGCATTAGTTGCCATATAAATTTAGTCTTATTACTATTCAACACAAAATAATCCTGCATGACTTTGATGAGGTAAGGCCTGTAGGTGGAAATGGTTTTATTAGACCACCTCCAATAGTTGGAGAGAGCAGAGAAAATTTGTTTGGGCACAGATTTTTTGGGGGCAAACAAATCTACCTGTTATGAACAGCAGATTTAAGGATTGCTTCAAATTCAAGCAATTGCTCTGAATAGCATTTTCAAGTGGTCAAGTAAAAACATCAGCACCAATTACAGACCTTACCTTGCCTATGACTTTTCACCATCAGAGCTGTGACAACCCTGCTGCTAAAGCTCTCTACATGTCAGTTATTTCCAGGGGATGAAAAAGGAATTCCTAAATGTTTCTGAATATATGGTGCTTGTCAGAAAACAAACAAATGCCAATAGAAATAAAAGACAGCAGATCTTCCTAGAATTAGGCATAGCATCTACAAGGAGTAATTTGTGGGGAGATTACCCAGGGTATCCCAATTTAGATTTACAACTAAATGTTAAACATCAGGGGCATTGACAGATAGTACTGAACTTAGTACTGTCCAGTTGGAGAGGCTGCCACATTTCTCCTTCCTCTGTCAACACCAGGTCCTTACCTTGTTAACACCCTGTCCTAATTATGAAGATACACTGATTTGATTTTTTTTTCCTTTTCCAGTATCCCAAAGAATATCTACACAATTAAAGGAGATGGTGATACTTCAGCCTTTTATACTCTTCAGGACAAATTACATTGTAAAGCTTCTTAAAAGTGTTTTATTGCTTATATTTCCAAAATATGATTAATTGATTATATAATCACCCAGAATTTTACAATTACTGCCCTTGCATGCCTCTCAAGGAATGGAACTTCTAACAAAGGAGTTTCCTCTTTTTTACCCTTCACTCCTTTCCATCACACTCCCAATTTTTTATATTGTCATGTGTTACAAATGAGTGTTATCAGAACTGTTTCAAGGCCATAGGTTTCAATAGCTAATATTAGTTCTTATTAGAAGAAATAGCTTCAATAGTAAAGTTTCAGGACAGTCAACAAAATGAGGCTCTTTTTTCCTGGTTCAGGATATGGCTCAACATTGGGGGATATTTTCTGTTACAAGCAACTGGAGTTGGCACACATATAAACCCTCTCCATCAATTTGAACAAATATACAACCTTATATGTGCAGAAATATTGTGATTCTCAAAACACAGCAATGATTATTTCCATATTAAGTGGATAAATCTAATAAAAACCAAGATATGAAAGGTAAAATGTAGTCAAATGATTAGATGATTGGTCACTGGTGTTTAAATTATGTTAATTGGCACATTACTGAAAATTAAACGTAGCTAATATATACAGGTAAGTTTTTTAAAATACAGTTGCTAAACATTAAAAAACAAAAATATGAAAGTCTAAATGCTGCAAAATACTAGAAGAACTTATGTTTTGCTAAAAATCTGCTCTTCATACCAGCTACTATTCATAATAAATGTTCATAATATTTATATTTTACTCCTTTAATACAAAAATAAACCCTTTGGTGCCATACATACTACATAATTTATTCTGTGTACAGAATAATCTAGAAAAGTAATTGTGCATTATTAATAAAAAATTATCTATAGTGTCAAGGTTCAGTTAATAAAAAATGTAATTTTAAGGTAGCTGCAGCCAAGATGTCTACTGATTAGGATAAGATAATAATAAGTAATGAGGAAATCACACATACTATGTACTGTTAAGAAACAAAAGGATCAGTCATATAGCAAACAAAACAAAATGATCTGATAAAACAGAAATGAGCAGATTGTTTTTCATACTTGCTTAAAACTTTTCCTAAGTAAGAAGACTTAGAGCTCCAGAACACACACAAATGGTATCCCACTTATTCAGGTACAGAGTCTTTCCAGTGGGGCTGATATGAGGAGGAAAGGGACACTACAGATTTGTATTTACAAACTTTGCGTTACATGAACTTCCTAGGTATGGAAACTAAATCAGCCAAGACACCAACAAACCTGGAAGTTTGTTTCTAATTTAACTAGTCAGGAAAGTATGAACATGCAGACTGGATTTCTGATTTATACAAAGAATAGGCAACCCTGACAAATGGTTAAGATGAATAGAACTGTATTATTCACCATATGTAACAGAGATTAAATGGCTTTTAATCACCACCTTCTTATCATAAAAATATATTTACACAGTGCCTGTGAACAAGTGTCCTTGTAGCAAAACCTGATGTTTATTTATACAGGAAAAAATTCTTGCCCCTATTGCACTGTTTCCTCTGGGAGAAGGGAAGTAAACACAGCTGGCATTCTTTACATAAAGAAACAAAAAGAATAAAAAAAAAATCTGAAAGAAACCCCACACTTCTCTTTGGCTCTTTTTTCTTCCTCATTCCTTTGTCCAATTCTTATCTCAGATACACTCCAAGTGATTAATATGAAAGGAAACTCTCAGGGCAAAGACTCGCTAAAGTTAGTGCTGTTCCCATGTAAAAGGTACATCAAGCTGTGGACTGACCCTGCACAGTTTATCTCCAGAGAGTCTCTACTGAACAACATCACACTTTTTTTTTTTCCTTTTTTCTGTGTCTGGTGGTTTAGACTGCAGCTCTTTGAGAAGAGAAAAAGGCATACCTCAAAATGTGGCTGTTACTTCATCATGAACACTTCCTAGAGCTGCAGCCTCTTTTATCCCTGCCAAAGCTTCACATCCCTCACAACACCAGGAAACAAACTTAGAAAATGGTCAGTCTGTACTTTAGGATAATTATCCTTACCTTGATATCCATGTAATATTCACTGTAAGAATATACCTACCTCATGTTATCAGTGCAAAAATTTTACATTCACTTGCATTATTTATACATACATTAAAGTATACGGATGGCATTAAAAATAAAGAAAATCATGTAATACCTTTACTTTTACCTATGGATTTGGTGAAATGGTTCCATGAAGAAAGCATTTCCAGACAAAAAGAGAATAAAGAAGAGGAGAGAAACAACAGTAAGAGTCATGAGTACATGTAAATGCAATAGTATCTGAACATGAAGAGACAAAGTCTAAGGTAAGTGTCTGAAGACAAATGGAGATGCAATCAGTGTCATATTAGGGATTTAGCTTATTTCTTCCCAATCATGTACATGCAGAGAAACACAAATAATCCATGCTTAGATAAGAAAGACTGTCACAAAGGTAACATGGACAATGGTTAGGAGGAAAAAAATCACTGGTTTTGTTAGGTAGCAAAACTGTACTCTCAGCATTCCAGAAGCCAGGAGCAGGTGCTTTCTGCACATTTCCAATCAGCCATGCATTAATGCAAATGGACTCTTCAATGTGTACAATGTTACAAGAGGAGCATCTTCTTTCAGGGGCTATCTGAAGAGTGGTCTGGCACTTTGTTTATCTTTTATAGGATCACCCATAATTGTATTTTCTGATCAATACACAGAATTTTCGTAATCACTTTCTTATTTCTCTCACCTCTTTTTAGTTATTGTTTTGCAAGAGGGGGAGTTGAGGAGGTAGGAAGGACAAAAGCTTACGGAGCAAACAAAAAAAAAAAGAACCAAAACAACCAAAAAACGAAACAAGAAAAAGATGTGACTAAAACCATGTGTTTCTTTGCAGCCAAAGACAGCTTTCAAGCATTTGCCCATCGGTTGCAGTGATGGATTCAAAGCAGCTACAGAACAAGAAGAAACAATGAAAGCAGAGTGGAAAAGGAACAGAGCCCATACCTTGGTCGCCCATCATCAGGTGCGCCAGACCTTGAAGGGAAACAAGAGCACAGTCAGCAATGAACAAGGGAGCACGGGAAGGTGGTGTTGTCACACTGACAAAAATGTTTTGTGACAGGCATCTGTTTCCTATAAGATGTCTGTATCACAGAGGGAAATCAAAGAGCATTTTTCAACCACTGGTTGGAATGCTTTGGGCTACAAGTAACAGAACTGCAATTCAAACACTGGGTGCTGTTTTATTGCGTTTTTTTTTTTTTTTTCTGTGCAGTATTTGCATTGACAGAAAATAATAAAATGCTTTCAAATCCAACCAATTCCTTTAATAATCCGTCTGTCTTTATCATATTTTGGTTATATTGCTTTGAACACTTTGCTGAGAGGACTTCCTGTCCTCTACATGTGAAATGATGTTTAAACCCTGGAGAAGTTTAAACCTGAAAAATGGGCTGGGTCTGATCTTTTTCCCCTCATAAAAATGAGCATTTCAGGTAATTAAATAAAATGTATTCATCACATTGAAATGATAATGCAAAGAATGTCTCCTTATTTGTGTGAAATGTGACAGTAGAATGAATTTGTTCCAGAGAAGGCAAATTATTACATATGCAATATAAAATACAGAGTAATAAAGAAAATTTAAGTGACAGCTTCTGCAACTACTTATTCAATCTGTGAGAAATAGATTTTGCTTTATACTTATATTGTGAGATGAAATCCCATCACACCAGAATAGGTCTAGTGACATTTCAAAGCAGATGTCCATAATGATAATCACTCATCCACAGCCAAATTTTGTTACTCTTCAAGGAAAAATATTCATCTTTTTTAATCATGATAATAAAATGATACTTAAATCTCACTGAATATAATGTGATGTTGGGAGAATATTTTTCTTAGATATATAAAGGTTTTCATTTTTTATGTCTGATTTAAAAAACAGACTTATTCTTGTTGAATTTAGCTGGTTTAGGATCCATTTCAGAAGTTATTGGTTGTTCATGTGTAAATGTGCTCCTCTTCTCAAAAAAGCCATACATTATTTTCTTAATTGCAATTAATTGAAATTAATTCACACAAAGAAGGTGAGCAATAAAATATCCTTCTCTTTATTAGAGAGCAGACTTCCTAGAGAGAGAGTTTCTGTGATTTCTAATTCACAAAGAAAATTAGGTGCACAAATGACTCACGCTACTTGGGGGTAGTTCAAAGAAGATACTCCCGACTGCAATCAGTCTAAATGATTCTTCTCTTATCAGTTCCAAATCTCAAGTGATGTTCCAAGTAGTCTAACAATGGTTTTGTTGAATTATTGCTTTTTAATGTCACTCGTTTTAGATGTGTAGTTAAACTGAAGGGCCTGATGTGCCTGATCTCTTGTGCAATAAATTCTGTTTCCAAATACAGAGCTCTGCAGCTGGTGGGATTACCTGGGGCTCACAGCAATGTAAATGAAAGCTGACTGTGATCCTGAAGGGATGCCTGCATCAGCATCGCTTGGGAAGCATCACACAGCTGAACTGGCAGTCTGCAGCTTGTGAAAGAGAACAGAAATGTTTTCATGGGTGCTCCTTCTCTGTAAGTGTTGTGTTATGCTGAATACACAGAGCATAAAGACCATAAATGATATTATTTAATTCATTATTTTAGTGCTGGGTGTCCTTCCTTGTTATCTCCTGACACGTGGCCTTTGGAAGTATCAGTCTCTTCTTGTGATTGATTAATTTGACTTTGGGTTTTAGCTTTTGGTGTTGGCAACTATAGCAAGAAATCTCAGACTTTTGACTTGACCCTAATTGACCCCTTTGTATTTGATAAAGAAAAATTGAAACCAGCTGAACATTGCAACATCCTTTTCTTTAATGAAACTATGACTTTTCAGCCACTACTTTATGTGAGATCTTTCAAAAAAAATCACTGTGCAGTCTCCCAGGGGAATGCAATAAAGCAGATCTTTTACTATCTCACATTTACATATGAACTTCTTAGCTATATGAACCTAAACAAAAGTCTAGCTTCAGATTATCACTGCTTGATAGTGATCACTATTTTAGTTAAAATGATATGTGAAATTGGTCAGTTGCAAATAGATGACTCTTACATAATTTGAAGAAAAAATGTAAATAGCAGAAGTACCATAATAAAAACTGCTTCAATTTTGAGTCATTTAGTGTTCAATGAAAAAATGCAGCCAAGTGAATGTAAAAGACATACACTGCTCAAACTAAACATCTACCAATTAAAAAAATCAGTACTAATCCTCAAGACACTGTATGTTGTTTCACTCTTTGTGTTACTTTATTTGCAAGCAGTAAGGTCACTTTTACTCCCTTGCTAAAGGCATGTGATGATACTTACCCTATTTTATATTTTTGCAATCTATGGGTGAAGGCTATTGAAGAGCGAAGCATTACTAGTACTGTACCTGTTCATTCCACAGAGGGGTTTAAAATTATACAGCTAAATCTGCCATGGGAAGAATCACTGCTAGATTTGCAAAAAGAAAGTCTGCTTTTAATAGACCTGGGAACTTTTATCCTTAAGGTAGCCACATATAGACCTCCCATACATTGAAAATACTCATTTGTGCACCATTACTTCAATTTCTTTGTGAATCAGGAATTCAAGATTTAGAAGGAATCCCTCATGTGTCATCCACTCCAACTCTCTCCTGAACTTGGCTCTCAGAGGAGAGGGTTAAGGGGCACAGGGTGGGATAGTGGAAGAGGATATGAGGGTAGGATACCGTAGTTTGGTATGTGAGTTCCATGCAGAGCACAGGCCAAAACAAAATTTAAATGTGATAAACCTGCAGTGAAGGTATTAAATGTAGTCCAAATTCAGTAAAATGAAAAAACAACAGCCTTTTTTACCAGAAGTACATACAAAATTGAATATTACATATTTCTGTTTGCTTATGTCGCCTAATTTACAGAGATGCTCAGATATCACAGAGATCAAAGATGAAACATTTTAGCACAGATTTCAAGTTGTGCTTTGGATACACAATTCTATGCTTCCATTTTTACATATTCATGCTTTGTAACTTTAATGTATGCATAAGTATCCAGACCTGTGTTGGAATAAATTTAAGGTTGCAGTTTTAAGAATTAGGTTCAGGTAAAGTCTGGATTAACAGTTATCCAGGTTTTATCTTCTACTGCTGTGCATAAATGAATATGTGAAATGCAATTGAACCTCCTTATCTAGTTATACTGAACCTAATTCAAATTTTGAGACTCATGTTGACACCAGTAAGAGTTTTATGCACAGATCAAATACAAGATTAGGTAGTTATTTCTAGGCTTTTATGTTTTTCAGCTAGAATTTCTATTGCAGTGTTGCTGAATACATTTTTATCTCACACTGAAAGTGAAATTTTATTGACGTGTACGAGCATGACAGTGCCCACAAGTAAAGCACCAGAATTATTTGAATTTTGCTTCTCCTTGGGAAAACATATATATTAATAAAATTGCAGAGCATCATCTATGTGCTAAATCTGAGCACCTGCCTTCACCATTGAATACAGCAGCACAGAGAGATGAAGCATCAGCACTTCAAGGCTTGAGAAAATCACCCCTGAACAGGCAGTGGCTCACGGTGAGTTGAAACCTGAATGAACTCAGGCCCCAGAGTGGCTCACATGAGCATGCCAGGTCAGAGTCATGCCAGGACAGTCACTTTGCATATCAGTTAGTTTACAAACTCCTTGCTTTTAAAATAGCTTTTAAAATATTGGAATGAAATCAAATGAAAGCAATTTTTTTTTCAGTTTGGATAGGTAAACTAATTTTTTTCAAATAGAAAATCATTTATCCAGTATGCAAAGATTCACCCCAGAGAGACTTTGAAAGACATTTATAGATAAAAAAGCACCTGCACTTTTTAGCTTATAAGCAAAAAGACTTTAAAATTGTCATATATTTGCATGTTTCACCAGCTAATAGACTTACTTACCAATATTCAGGATAGATGGCATTGTGCCTTAGTTTCCACTGCCCTATGCCATACTTTCTTTAAAGGGACTTAATTACATACCAACTCAATTATTAAAATCACATGCTGCTTCTTTCACAGTGTCTCAAAGGCAAGTGCATTATGCTGAAAAGTTAGACAGAAAACCTCTTTTCCTAAAGCTTTGTGCTGTAAAGGATGTTAGAGTAAGCAAGGTTTGTGGTATTAAAGAGAAAAGCGCTTTCCATTTTCCTAAGCAATTTAGAGACAGGAATTTAGCATGCATTACTATTTCATTGGGAGGGTTTAAGGTCCACATCGATGGGACAAATAGTTTCTTGAAGTGTTTTTCATACAGAACATGAGAAGAAATCAGTCCTGCAAATCTCCAGAGAGGTTTTGGATATGGTATCAGTCACATGAGTACAAACCCTGTTGTTTCAGTGGAGATATTCTGGAATTACAGCAATAAGGCCAAGGAGCTTTGCTTGTGTTCTGTATGAAAAAATAAATCACATCTATTTGATAAACTTGTATGCCTTTATGCAGGGGAAAATACAACTTACCGTACTGAATGATATGTGAACTTTTAGAACATTAAGCAGAAGGAAAAGAAAACCCCACTGAACAGAGGGGAAAAACAAGAGCTTAGGAAAATAAGGTAGAAAGCACCCACCTTCCACATAGTTGTCTTCTGTAAGCACATAACAGGGAAGGAGAGAAAAGGAAAACATTCATTAAGCAGCATGCAGACTGGAACTTGCCATTGCATGTCTTACTCATGCAAGGCATCAAACACAACATGCAAGTGCTCCATTGCTACAATCCAGAGGGAAAAACAAAAGCACCAGGGAAGCAGTGTTTCCTCTACTTAACAAAATGTATGTGATATGAAACAAAATACTCTTTGCCAAAGTGCAAATATTGTAAAGGATTTAGTGCAGCTCTTTGTACATGCAACTGTTATTATTGTTACTTATTAATCAGAGGGTCTTCTTGTAAGATTTTTGTAACTCTATATTTTAAAACCACCAGTCATTTGTGATGGGGATTCGAAATTCATTTGGTACTACTTTCCCATTCTGAATTTTCCTGGATGATGAAGTAGATGATTTTAAACTTCAGATAAGTTAAATTCTTGAATGTGCTGTGAAAATGTTACCACAGGCAGCATGGCTGATCCTGCAGTCATTAGAGAGGCACTCTGGTCATTGGGTCAAATCCCCAAATCCAGCAGGGGAAAAAAGTAGAACTTAAACTGGGTGGAAAGAGTCAGAACTTTTGGATCATGTCCTACAGAATTGGTCAGCATCAGAAACTTGCACATTGCAAAAAATTAATCAATTCTCCGCCTGGTACAGTCAGCAAAGGCCACAGAAGTGCCAAGAATGGGTTCTGCCCCCTGATTAAATCAAAGGGCATTTTGCCTAAGGCTGCTATCAATAAGCAATAACATTTACCATTGTTTATACCCAACCAAACATCAATATGGGGCACAGGAAAGAAGGTTCTCCCAAAACTTACAAAGCAAAAGGGAACTAAGAAATGAGTCTCAGTTAATAAAGTAGACAGAATTGAAAGCTGAGAAACAGGCTCAGTGTCCTAAAACTCATTTTGGTGCCTATAGTCCTCATCTGCTCCACCGGGAAGGTGATTTTGAGGGAGTAGTTCTCTGAGCATGACTGAGGAGGGGATAGGAAAGAGAAAATGGGAAAGGTAAAATAACGAAGGAAAACCATCACAGAAGTCAAGGAGATGGATGCTGTGGAGCCAGCAGAGATGGGGAAGGGTGACAGCACAGCAGTCTGACTGCCTGGGAGATCTGCTGCTGCTGTTTATGCCATCTCCACCAGCTCTTCCTGGGGAGGGAGCACGCAGAACTCAGGGAAAACTGAAGGCCAGTTCTGCCATTATTGGTCATTTCTCATGGACTCATCCCATAGGAACAATGCCTTTTCATGTGACCATGAAACCAAACTAATTTTCATATATTGTAACCCAATAAATAAGAAAACAAGTTACACAGAACTGGGCATAATGATATTTTTTTAAGCACAGTGATTTCCTCCCAGAATGTGTCACTTATCATCGTGAAAAGCCTTTATAAGTTAATGCAGAAAGCAATGAAAAAGGTCATCAAAACTCAACAGTATTCCAACAAATAATTTGAAAAATTTACCACTTTAAAAATAATAACTGCTATAAATGATGAATAATAAGGTTTTAAAGGTTTAATTATACAGTTGGATTATATAGTTCATCTTTTCCATTCAGACACTCTATAACAAGAAATAGAATAAAATTCACTGAGATGATGATGAACACCCACTTTCACAAGACAAAGATATTATGTTCTATATACAATGTAAATAGTGATATTTGGATATGATATTTGTGCTAAAAATGTGATATTTGGAGTGGCTCTTAGCAAAACTTTTCTGGAAGAACCTTTTACCTTTAACTGCGTGCAGTAATTTCCTTTCTCTAAGTAAAAAAAAAACAACACCCAAACTCAATGAAAAATAAATTAGTTATTTAAATTGTTGTTTAACTTCAGACTCTTTCATCTAATTCTGGTTATCACAGTGTTTGTGATATTTGTGGATACACCAGTGTTTGCTGGTATATTGCAATACCAGCATTGCCATGGGATTCTTTTTGGGGGCCATGTTTAGTTTAACAAGATGCTTTAAAACCAGCATATGAACTCAGCTGACAGCTGAGTTCAGTTCCTCATGATGTGAGACTCAAAGAAAAGGGCTCTGAAAACGACATCTTAGGCAGGATCAGATGGTTTAACCCATCTGGTTACAGGGTTTAGCATATTTGGTTTTATATCATGAGTCCTCCCTCTTAGCAATAATTGGTATGCCTTTTTTGTGACTTTCACCAGAAAGATTTATACTGGCTGAGCAGCTTCCCTTAAATGTCTGACTGACTAAACTTTTAGTGATAGCAAGTCAAGCTGTCAAAACATTTTGAATGAAATAAAATGGAAAAAAGTCAAATTCCCACTCTGAGTTAAACAGTGTATATAGCCAAACCCTCTGCACTGGTAAACAGCAATGAAAATTCATTCCTCCACAGGTTTTTGTCATGGTAAGTTAAACCATCTTAAACAGTTTTGCAATCTAAGAAAAAAATTAGTTCAGCTTCTTTATGGTACTTTATGAGGCTTTTACATTAGATTAGCATTGAGCACTTTAATTAAGGTAAGCTGTTTGTGATGGATGATATATTTCCATATCACTAACACTTCACTTGGCTTTCCTGATTCCCATTTTCTAGGCATGGCTTATTCTTCTAAGCAGAATCTTAGAAACCAGAAGGCTCAAATTCTAGCCTTACTTTTTATTAATTTTGCTGACTGCAGCCACTCTTAAAAAACAAAATAAAACAAAACCATAAAAAAAAAAAAAAGAAAGATCATTAAAAGCCATTTACAATATCAAGTCACAGTTCAGAGGGAACAAAAATTTCCTCATTTAAATCAGGAGTAACTGCATTTATGTCATTAGATTTGCATTGGTGTAAAATTTCTGTACCTGGAGGAGTATAGAGCCATACTACACATTTCAGTACGTGCTGATGGTTCAGCCACACACTGAATTTACCAACATTTCTATCCATTTCTATCCCCTCTGAGGGACCTTATTGTCTACTGAGTAGCTCTGCTGCCAGCAGTGGAACCCAAAGTTTTTAGGACCCAAAATGCCTACCCCAAATGCTGCAGGCAGTGGCACAGAGCAACTTTTTCCTTTTCTGCACCAGCTGATCGTACCAAGGACTTTTCACCCTGAAAACAGGTGACTTTCTCTTCAGCATCCTGAATTCAAAGAGATGTGGGAATTTTTCTATTTTTCACATTGCACCAAGCTCCTCACTTGAAGAACTAGAGAGTTCTTATCCACTGCAAACCCTTATTTTCAAGGCCTTCCCCCATGACCACCACCAAAAACAATTAATTGCCCTGCTATTTTCTGTGTTTGCAACCTAATTCCTCCAGCCAAAGTCTGCTCTTGGTGCTGTGAGTGTAATCTGTTGACTGTGCATATCGAGCCAAACACTGAGTTGATTTAAATCTGGTGTGACACAGTTGAAATCAGAGGAACTGCACAACTTACACAGGCTGTGAATCTGGCCTATTATCTCCAGATGAATTGACTCAGGCTGTCCCTACTGAACTGAGAGCAGATTCTGCTCCTTTTTTTTTTTTTTTTTTTTTTTTTGCAGTAAAAGCGCAACCAATTCTAATTATTTTAGCACATTACTGTGATTTAGTGATATGAAAATGGGAATCATATTTTTACAGTACATTTTTACCAATTAAAGAATTGTTTTAATGTTCAGTGATTCTTCATGGAAACCTTGATATTAAAAAAACAAACAAAAAAACACCTGACTCTTTCTACGTTTAGTGGTTATTTCTGCTATTATATTTTTTTCATCTGCTAGAGAATTTACACCTTGGCCACACAATTATCTAAGAACTGTATTTTCATGACAAACAGGAGAAGCAGTAATTAGTATTTTGAAATTACACAAACAGAAACAACACCATAAGAAATTAGCATATTAGCAGCGGGATATTTACAGTGCCTTTTCTCATGACAATTAAGTTCACAATCACATTCCAGTAAGGAAGAATATAATATACTATAGACATATTTATGAAATTTCAAAAGGGATTCAGAAGCATGGCAAGTGGTGAAATAGCATGAAATAAAGCTATATTATGAAGGTGTCTTGCTACAAAATTGATGGCTAGAAGTTTAAGATATAATATTTTGTTTTTCTCAAAGAATAATGCATAATTATACATCTCTCTAAATTATCTACCAAAAAAAACCCAAAAACCTGTAGTTAGAAATATCATTTAACTTTATTTGTAGAACTGCTCCCAGTGTTTCTTGGATGGTGTAATTTAGCCTGTCCCATCCATTTCTCAAATTTGTAGAAAAATTGATTTTATTGACATGGGGTTCAAAACAAAATATTTGGAAAGGATATGAAAATATGAAGTATGTTATAAAGCATGAACAGTCATATAGTCAATAATGATGAAATAAAGCAATATATTGAATATCCATGGTCATGATCATTGATCCTCTCAAGTGCTGTGTATCTGACAAATGCCATAAGGATTATCTGCATATTTTAGAAATTACTTTTGAAAAATGTATTGCACTTATTGATTGTCATTATTGAATGCAATTACGAATAATCAGAAATGGATTATAAAGATACCTGGTACTCTGATTTTGTTGCAGCCTCCTTTAGTATTGGGTAAACAGGGTAACAGCATTTCCCAATCCTGCTGGAATTCTTACACAAAATCTAGAAATCTACCAGAATCTAGGCAGGAAGGCTTAGGAGTTCCTACATTTCCACATTAGATCTGAAATCAATGTTCAGCCCCTCTTAGTCTCCACACAGCTTTGGACAGACTCATTTAGAGGGTTTTCCAGTGCAGTTGGTAGAAATATGATAGGGACTTTATTGATTTTTTTTTTTTTTTTTTTTCTGGAAAGGAGAAATTTCAGAATAACAGGAGTTTGGGCCCATTTTAGTTCCATTCTCTACCTACAACTCTTTGAGGATCCCTTCTTTTCTGGATTACCCTCTTCAGGACTTGGGACAAAGGCAAGATCCCATCAGGAGCACTAATGGACTGCCATGACTGAAAATAAGGAC